AGCCCGCAGTGCTCAGTAAGTGCTGATGAGCAAGGAAATGCCCTGCAGCGTCAGCGCTGGGCCTCAGTTCCATGCCCGCACTCTCAGCTGAAGTGGGAGTCTCTCTCCTCCTGTCAGCTCCTCCCCTGGGGCCTACGACTGATAGTATATGAGGCTAAGAACTCTATCATTCCTCTTCCTTTCTCCTTGTGGTCCTGCCTACAGTACTCGGGCTCCTGATCAGCAGGAGGGAACTAACACACAGGACTGGCAGGGCACTCCTGCTACTTGTACCTTCCTCACGCCCAGGAGGGCAGCATCCTCCTCTTGGAGCAAAGGAGGAGGCTGATGACAGGAGACTCTACTTTCGACTTGGTGGACTCTCAGCAAATGGCTCACTAACACTCCCATGCTGGTCAGGCATCCCCTGAGCACAGACCCCCACACGCTTCTCTGGACTACCTAATTTCCACCGAAACCTTCCACCTTCCAGTCCTCTCTCTACAATACAGACAGTGATGCTCTACACTGCCAAAACCGCAGGATTCCTGCTGCCCTCTTTACTTCCGGTCATGCATAGTTCCATTATTTACGGATGCCAGCTACCTGCAGTGCACTGGAACTGCCCAGAGTTACACGTGGGCTTTCCTGTTCTCAGGACACTGGTTTCCCAGTAAGCAAAGTGTGGTGATGTATTTCACCACAGTTATAACCAGAACCTCTATAAACCACAAGCTCAACTAAAGCCATGGTTTTAATCTCTGATCTCCACTGACTGGCAGACCCCGCTCTACATGCTGAAGAAATCCTAACTACAGGACATGTGAAGATAACCTTCCTCCTTCATAGTCCCAAGATGAAAGCACACAGCACAAAATTAAATAGATGCTCTAGATGGAAAGACGACTCACCCTCATGGGCCCAGATGTGCCTCTGAAGGTCTGAGCCGTTCTTCATGAAATAGAAATCGCAATATGGACACTTCATGGCTCGCTTTCCAATTAGCCCTTTGAGCTGGACCCTTCTCCCAAGAACCTCAGAAATGGTGTTCATGGAGACCTCTGACAGAAAAAGCAGGGTGGCAGTCAGAGAGGACAAGGCACTTTTGCTCTTCTGGTTAGAGGCAAACGCACTTCAAGGGCACCTGAATGCACGAGAAATATGCAGGAAGTGCCTTCATGGTATCACGAAACAGCATTTTTACTGAAAAAGTAAATTTGGATCTGGTCTGGTTGTAGCTCTAAGTACCTGTTAATGGGTAATGGAGAAACCCTGCACAGCAATGAGCAAACAGATGCAGAGTGTAGGCTTTCTACAGGAAAAGTAACGCATCCTCTCCCAGAAATCACTGTCGCAGAATACAAGCGGGAGACTAGGGGTGCTACAGAATACAAGCAATGTAAGTGACATAATCGCTAAAATACCACAGCTCTGTTCAAACACAGTGTACAGCAAAATATTAGATCAACTGGGGAAATTTTAAGTGGCCACATACAGTATCCTAGGATGCAATAAGAGTCATTGTTACCACTGTTTTTTATTGGCCACACAGGGATCATGCAAAGCAAAACCCTTAATCATTAGAGATAATCCATAAAGTCTTTTGTAGGAAAACTGAAAGAGATAAACTTTGGAATATTCTAGAAAGGAAAAGTTTGTGAGTGGATACATGCAAAGAGCTTGTGGAAGCTGAGGTATGGACATATGGGTCTCCTTGGGTAATTCTGTATTTATGAGCAAAGGCCAGTGCTTTTAAATGCTGTCTTTAGCTCACACTGGACTACCAGTCACTAGGACAAAGGTTAACCCAGCTAAAACGTAACTGTCAGAGCCCTTGATTTTTAACAGAGAAGTCACTTCTCTCCCATCAAGGGTGGATACAAAGGTTTAAACAAGAAGTGGCAGGGATGAAGAAGCTGAATTTTGCTGATAGTCATTTATGTAACACAGGGCGCCCAGGTCTGCTCTGTCTGTTCCACTTAATACGACAATGGAGTATGACATTACGGTAAGGTCCTGCTCAAAGATTCCCATGGTAGCAAAGAACGATAGTGTCTGGAGTACAAGTGATGAGCATGCCACCACACAGGGTGAAGCCAGGAGGATACAAGGCTTCTCCAAGGGAAGAGCATTTTAAATACTGAGTTAATTCACACCCTCCCTCTTCATTCCTAGCTGGTACCACTTACATACAGTATTATGTTTTAAAATAAACCTAAGTATTTAAAGATTAATCTTCTATTCTACAGTTCGTAACTTACCAGGATGATTGGTCTTGATATGTGACTTTATCAATCGGTCTTCAGAAAAAGATTTTTCACACACAGGACAAGAATAACTCCTTTTGTCCTTAATAGAAAAAGAAAAAAAAAAAAGAAAACAACTAACTTGAGTGTAGGTTCTGTAGAAAGATAACTACTACCCTTACCATCATCACCACCAAAGGCCGCCATCACCACCACCACCACCACCACCATTAAACACCATCATCACCATCATCAACACTGTTACCTCCACTGTCAACACTGTCACCGTTCCCATCACCACCGCCACTATCACGACCATCGTCAAAACTATGACCACCACAACAACCAGCAGCAGAAAGCCCACCAAAACCAGACATACAGCACATCCCTCTGAAGCATTTATAGACAGTCACCCAGCTCTACACAGCCTGTGGAAGATTCAGAGCTCTAGGAAAATAGAAACGGCAGCCAAGAGGCTCTACCACACATTTCAGGGCTACTCAATAACTCAACGGTTTACGATGTCCTCAGCGCTCAAAACACAACTTACACTAAGCTTTCACATATGATTGAGATCCACAAACATTTGTAAAAAAAAAAAAAAAAAAAGTCATTCATGTTTCCATTATGGAATTATGGATTAAGGAATGGGGGCCAGGGAAAAGAACACAAGATCAAGCCAGTCAGTCAACATTCTAGCAGGGGTGGGGGAGGATTGAACTCATGAGCCCCACTCCTATTTGAGACACTATTTAAATTCAATGGCTTCTAAGAGTTGGGGGGGAGAACCTTTCTTTAAGGATGTAGGCTCTGATAGGCTGACCTGCTCTAGTGGAAGAACCCACACACAGGAGTATATGGACAGGACAAACAGGAGTTGGTGGTTATTTAAAAGGAAAGAGGACATTAAATTAGGAGGGGTGTAAATCTGGGAGGGGTTAGGGAGAGTCTGGGGTGAAATACACACACACACACACACACTACACGTTTGTGCACACACAAAAGATCATGCCATGAGCTTTCTAGCCAGCCAATGTCACTGACTCCCCCAGACAACATGAGCTTGGGGTTTCTCAATGTGCTCCCATTACTCCCTCCCACTGTCCTTGACACTTGGCTCACAGGGCCATTTTAAGAGATTCTCAAGGCCCTATAACATCCTGGTGGTGCCCTCCCACTGCCATCCCAGGCGCCCTTGTCATTGGAGCTGATGGAAGCATTCAGAAGAGCTTTGAAGGAGTTTACACTGATCTCCCCTGAGTCCTTGCTGTTTGACTTTTTCTTCTTTTAATCCCTGATAGTCTGAAAGCAATTTATCTCAGAGCTTATCAGGGGCCCCATTTCTTGATGTCTTTGAAGATTGTCAGGACACAGACAGTAGGAGAGAGGGCTGGGAGAAGGGTAGATTCGTAGGATTCATTTACTTCGTTTTCAGAAACTCAGTGCCTTGCTGCAGATGAAACCCAAACAGCAAACACACTCGGAAAACTTAAAAAGAACCATGGCCAAAAGGGCCCCTGGCAAAGGCAGAGAACACAAGAAAGCTAGCCATGGGGTGGTGAAGAGCAACGCTTTGGAGTCTGTTTGCTCCAACAGAGATGTCTACAAAGCCATTTGTGCCCAGAGAGAAGGGGGGTCCACATGAAACTGCAGCTGTACAGGGGATGCAGAGAGAGCCCTTGCCCGAGGTTAGGAGCCTAGTTTATCACTCAAGTGACCTCATCTGACCTGTGCCTCTCTGGTGGGTATACTGACCTCCAAAGAAGTGGAGAGTTCTGAGGCCCACACTGGCTGGAGAACATCAAATTGAATCCCCCCACTAAGTAGTCTGACACATACATACATCCCCCCTATAAAACACTGACATCAAACCCCAAAAGTTGGCACTTGCTCTGAACAATTTCTCAGGAACAGGTCACAGTCACGATACCTGCTAAGTTCCAGACGCCGTGCTGGGGACAAAGGCAGCAGATTTTTTGAGTTCTTACAAGTTATCTACAGATGTGCCACACAGAAAGCCCCCCTTCTTTGGGGGGGTTGCAGAAGCCATAGCAAGGAGTAGGCAGGTGACACTGTCTTATGACAGACTGGAACATGACACCCAGAATGTGCTGTGTTTAGGGTTGCAGACAGAAGGCTGAAGACAGTTCTATTTCCTCTGGGAGCCTGACGGCCGCTGTGCAGTGGGTAAAACACCCAAATGGGGTAACCCAGAATCAAACGTGTTTTGTGACCATTCTCCCAGTCACCTACACTACATTTTCCTCTGTGTATTCACATGAATACAGACTGATCAGATATATCCATTTATTTCTGAAAAGACATGGACAGAAGCTCCCTTAACATTCTCTGTGCTTTTAGGTAAGTTATCATTTCAGTTTACCCAAAAGGTACATATTATTCAGCAAGCATCAAACAAAAAGAAATGTGTGTGCTTCTCAAAGATCAGGGCCAAGTATTCTGCGCACTTACTGAGAAGTCAGCAGACACTGGATGAACATACCACCACTCTCGCGGCTGGTGTCCTTATCTGAAGGCACAAGCAGGAGAGGTTGGAGGTGAAAAACAGCAACAGCATCTACCATGGTAGCCCCACATGCGTGAGACCATGCTTTGTCATTACCAACATGACTGCAGAATGCTCCAGGGCAATCATGGAGGTGGACACTGGTGACCTCATTTCCAGGACGTGGGTCTAGAGAAGCCTTTGGAGGGCAAAGGCTATGTCCCTTCAAAATCTGAAAACTGACACTCTAGGGCTTGGGCCGCAGCTTTGTGAGGGCACCTTGGAGGTCTCCAGGGAGAAATACAAAACAGAAGCAGGGGTCCATTCTTTGAGTAACAGATTCCCAGAGCCCACCTTGAGTTGGGATGACAGCAGGAAGGCAGGAATCTCATTCCTAACGAATGCTACTGTGGCACTGGGGTTCCTCGAGGTCACTAATTAAATCACTTAGGTCAACAGTTTACACACTTATTTAATAGGAAGCCAGGAAGCCAGCCAGCCAACCGCATCCCCAGCAATACTAATACACATTGGCATTCGAATACCGAATGCTTAAAAACCTCAGAAAGCAATGCTTGCCCCGTGTGTGGGTGAGCACTTGACGGGCTCTGATTAGGTCTACTTAATCTCACTAGTAAAAGAGCCAGGCATGACTCACTCAAATGTTTGCACACAATCCTCTAATGGATTATGATCTATGGATCTTGCCATTCACTGACCTGATTTAATCCCCATAACCTTAAGAGATGAGGGAAGAACTCTATTTCCAATTTACAAGCCGAAGCAATTTGCCCAGAATCACAAAGACTGATGTGGGGCCGGAAATGAGCACACCAGAACCCAAAGCATCCTGGCATTGGACTAAAATCATGTTTTCCCAAGTCGCCTCTTCATGAAGTTTTAATCATTTTAAAGCTGCTTTTGTTAGTGTTTTATCACAGCAACAGGAAGGGAACCAACTGAACCACCTCAGAGTGTCCTATGAAGGAAGTCCTTAGCCCCATTCCCATGGAGGGATGACTGTGTTCCTTCACCACAAATTGATGCCATGGGCTTAGTAATGAGAAGGAAGGGTAAGTGGGAAGAAACTACACTGGCCATCATTCTTTTATGTATTTGTAGATGTGAAATAGTGTCAGGGTCACAAAAACTAACAATTTGCCAGATTATCTCTGCATCCTAAAACAACCAGACTATGCCAGGATTTGTAGGCTCGTTTGGAGGCAGAGGGTGGTATTTTAGCTTTCGATGTGCGTGGGAACCTGTGTTCAAAGCAGGGATGCTAAAACAAAAGTGAAACCTCAGCCAACATTATAACTATCCAATGCCCTCTCCAAGTGCACAGGTAAGGAAATCAAGCCCAGGAGTGACCAGGACTCACTCCTGTTCCCATGGTTTCCTAGTGAGAACACTATCACCCCCTGCCTCAGCCTGATGCTTGGTGTGACTGGGGACCTCAGCTGGACCACAGTAACATGACAAGATGCCTTTACATAATGTGCAAGTTCAAGTAATCTCCCTGGAACACAGGAGCAGCTAGAGAAAGGCTGCTCACCCCTGAAAGACATGCAGTCAGAATGACGTGGAGCGCTGGGCTTGCCCTCAGCTCCACATCCCCAGTGTCACCTCTGCCTTGGTCATGTTAATGGGAGTATAATAACAATAGTGAAGACAGGTGGCTGGTGAGGATGACTCTCTAAACATGGACAG